AACAAAAAATCGCACGATCTTCTCGTACAATTTGGAATTAATAGACACTCGTAATGTTTTGAAAGTTCTTTAATTGTACTCGCCTAAAGGCTCGTGCAATTACAAGAACTTTCAAAACATTACTCGTGTCTATTAATTTCCAAATTGTACTCGAGATCGTGCGACTTCCTATACAAATTATCCTCTATAGACTCCCAAATACGTTGCTATGTTCGTTGTGTGTTTTATAAACAAAAAAATCGCACGTTCTTTCAAAACATCACGCGTACCTATAAATTCCGGATCGTACTCGAGATCGTGCGATTTCCTTTTCAAAACAGACATTAAGGTTTAAAATATAGGGATATAGTCTTCAACATGATCAAAATACATTAAATGCCTTTTTTTTTTTTTTTGAATCGCGAAAGCTATATAGAATTAAAAATCACGTTGCATTGCAAGAACTCTTCAGTGAATTTTTGTCTTCGTGTCCCGATATTCCGATATTATCTTGTGTTTTCTCTAAATGATAAAGTCACCGTTCGCCTAAGATTCGAATAAATATCAGGATGCTCCCTCTTCCCCAAATATAGTTGGAAAAATAGGCTTCGTGTCGTCCTTGAACGATTCGCTTGTTAAATCTTTAATATATCCCCTCCCCCTTTCCACAGGCGTCTTTACTCCTTATGTAGCTTCATGCTGATCTGCTCAAGCTAGTGCCGGAAAAGATCTTGAATGAGATCATTATTACCGCAAACTATCTGTCAAGCTTTCGGCTTTTTGTATTTTCCACTGTAGGCATCCAGTGCCACACTGTTTTTCCTGTGTAGCGAGCAGTACAATACAGACCCGTTTTTCTTTTCTTTTCTTTTCTTTTCCAGTTCTTTTCTCTTCTCTTCTCTTCGGATTTGTTGACAATTTTCGATCATTTCATTTCATTTATTTCCAGAGTTTTCAATATCTTTATCATCTAAACCTCTTGGCAAGCTATTTGAGCTTGCCGTTTTTAAACTGAGTTCTGTTGGATACTACATGACTGATAAATTACTGTGCGACTACACCAACAAAGGCCAACCCAGACAAGTTTTCATACAAATGAGCCAATCACGATTGAGTATTTAAACATGGAATGTGTACATATTTTAACATTTTCCCCTTTAGAATCATATATTTTATTATAGAATTACCTCTATTTTCCCAATCATTCTTGAATCGAAGTCTGTTCAGCGGTTTCCTTCAGTATCAATAATGCTCTAATGCAAAATAAACGATTTATGAATTAATTACATCCATTTTGAAATGACTGGTGATTCTGCAATTTGATTGGCTCTCGGCATAAGCAGTGCGACTTAATCACGAATAGACCATTTTCTAGTTCCAAAACGTGTTTCAGTCAAGGTCCGTCGAATTTCAAAGCGTTTGTTTGAAGTTATTTACTTTACCTTTGGTATTTGTGATTATTTTAACACTGATACGAGGCTAGCACTGTGTAAATGAGTCTGTAATCAAGAAAGACAGCGGTAATTTGGAAATCGAAACTGGACTATTGCACCTTTTTGAGTTTGAAATCGCACTATTTAAAGAGCCAATGAAATAGCAGAGAAAATATAGCATTTGACAAATCAGATCAAAGAAAGAAGAAGAAGACAAAGAAAAGCATATTAAAAAAAGGAATTTTCAAGGAGAAATTTTGTATTAAAATTAAATTTGAAATTTGAAAATGGATATGATTAAGTGGTAATTACGCAGTCGCTCAGTTCGATTATTATAATACATAATAGTATTTTGTGCCCAAACTGCATATAATGGACCGGTGATGGGGCATGGGGAAAGAGGGAGAAGGGGGAGGGGTACATGTCTTTTTAGTTAACAGCTGCAGGAGGGATCAGGGGGATCACTCATAAAGCAACCACTACTGAGAGGGGAGGGCGTAGGGAGAGAAGAATGAGTTTAAAAACTTAGCGCTGGAGGAAACAATTGACCGGTCCGCCGGACTAAGCGTAGGGATACTGACTAAGATTTACTAAATAGAAATTACAAATAATTTTAGTAAATGGCAGTATGTGCAAAATCATATAACTATATAACTCAACACCCAACCCTGTGGCTCCTTTGAAACTCTGACTGTAACGGGGACGTCTGCCGGAGCGGGCTACGAAGATTTCGGAATCTCCCTTCTCTAATTAAGCTTTTTTGTGAACTATTTTAGATGCTTTTGTGAAGGCAGGYCACTGCTATGCACAGGAAATTACGGTCATGGAGATTCTATGTGTTACGCCACTTATACCTAATCATTTACTGCTAAGTATATAGTAGATGATGAAATCACAAAAAGACAAATAAGGCAAGATCATTACTGTACTTATTGTAACACAGAGTTACGAAACGATTAGAAAACATTACAGCACATTATGAGTCACATACCGGTGTGTTTCCTCCCTCGCTTACATATACAGTAGTTCTTTTTCTTTGTTTATCAGCAAAGCCGTGTGGAAATTCAGCAGTTGAGTCCTTTGTAAGGTCAAAGTTTGGATAAGATTTATAAGTTGTTTCGCTATTTGTATAAATAGATAGATTTTTCTCGATAAATTGTTTACGATAAATTGGTCGTAAGGTGTTCTCTCATCATATGTCCCAGGCGTCCCTAACTGGCGTTAAGTGCGCATGCCTGCTTTTTGTAGACGAACACGGAAAATACGACGAATAATAACGGGCGTTTTATAACTCGGGCCTTCCTTCGGAAAGAAGCCCGAGTAATTATCACTGAACTTATTACTTCTCTATTCCGAAAAACACAACGCTTAAGTAAGCCGATAAAGACGATAAAATAAGTATTTTATGTTTATATAGACAGATGTTAAGTATCTAGACTGCGGACTGTTAAGCCGGAGATAATAATATTAGGACAACTTTATCTTAATCTCCCTGCATAAGCCTCTGCGACTCCGTCGTTTTGATCAGGTCAGTTCGAATTATGGCGATCCCGGAATAGGCTATATCTTGATGCCAGATTAAATTGATCATTTAAATACCAGCTTAACTGTTAACGCGGACTAAAACTCAAGTCATGCGAGCTTAGCCTCACTTCTGAGAGCGGGAAAAAAAAGCAGAAATCAGAATAACAAAACTTTGTTTCTCCTGCAATCCGAAGCTTATCTCTTGTAAGACTTATAAGACATATATTTAGAATTCATAACTGAATAATAAATAGCGTATTGTGTTTTTTCATTCATTATTATAGAGGCAACAGCTAGTTTTAATCAATAGAAAATGGAATTTTTAAGCTTAAAACTTTGTCACGAGAAAACGTATAATATATAAGCTTGCAAGCAAAAAAACTCGCTTAAAACATTACGCTCAAGAATCGAGTAGTAAAACAGTCGTGACGATTGGCTTAGCTCTACCCAAAGATTCAAAGCTAAATAGATATGAATGGGCATGACTTTAAATTAATTGAATTAGAAAGTACGATCTGATTGTGAGAGCATACAAATTTACAGTAAATATTCTTTTTTACCAAACCCAAAGAGAGAATTAAACGGCTGAGATGTTTAAAAACTGTTCAATTAAACTACTCCAACAACTCATTTTATAAATGAAAAACACACATCAAATCCCAAATACACAGTTATAAATTATAGGATGATATTTAAAAAGAGTTAAAATAATTTAATTTGGAAAAATAAATAGAGAAATACTTACAGCTCACTAAGCCGTTCTTGTGGAGGGTTACAAAAGAAAAAGGCGGCAAAAACAGGCGAGATATCACGTGATCAAAGACGGAAGAAGAATGGAATGGTGTTTAGAACTCGGGATCCGGGAGCTTCTAAGAATCTAATGTGCAAATATGAAAGGAGTGTCCGAGGTCATTTTCTAGAGATTTTCGAAACGATAAAAAACATAGATCCGGCCTAAAAGACGACGTTTATTTAGAAGCAGTTAAACGTTGCGATTATTTTTTCTTTTTTTCTTTTTTCTTTTTTCTTTTTTCTTTCTTTCTTTATTTTTTATTGCAGTTTTCTTACTGTTGTTGAGATCACCGACTGCCCTTGCATGAGGGAGGTGTGCAATCTCGCTGAGTGGATTGGCGAACTTTCGTTTTCAAAGATGATGCGGAGTTTTTATCTAAACTTAGTAAAAATACACAGGTGATCATTGAAAATCTCGAGCGCTGTTTGGTCAAGAAACTCACACTATCACACGATAA